CGTTTCTCAAGCCTGTCAAGGTCCCTCTGGAATGTATGTATTCAAATATATGAATTCAAATGGTCTTGGACGTTTATGACTAAGCAAGGGCAAAATTGCTTATGCAAAATTGCTTATAGGCTAATTTTATGGACTGCATCTAGGAAAACAGATACATGAAAACCTGAAGATAGCAAAGATTCTCATAGCATGAACACGTGTCGTTTTAAGAGGCACTTTGAAAGCTACAGCACCATTTCTGTGCCAGCTTTAGTGCATACCACAGAAGACATTAGTGGCACATGCGAAGCTACACATAGCTGCCAAGAAATACTCAACACCTGATTTCATCTCTAGTCCTGCTGCTAATTTTAGAGACAGGGTGAGTGTGCTGAAGCAGCCCTTCTCCTGCAGCTTGGTGTGCAATAAAGCCCCTGTAGCTCCGCTGTAGCTGGAGGAGAGCTTTGCTGTCTCACAGCAGGTGTACAGGCAACGTGTGAGGTCTTTTTCTGGTTGGCATCTGCGTGGTAACTTCTTGGACTGTGTTCCCTTAGGTCATTGCACAGTGAAATATTTTGTTCCTTGCAAAAAATGGTTTGCTTTCCCTGTTTACTTTTTATCTATCATAGACACTTTGATAACTTTAAAATGAAGCAAAAAGCTGACTTAGAATTTGGGCAGGTAGATCCTGGTGCTACTCAGAGGAGTCTGCTTTTGGCTTTTTCAAAGTTGTTTTTCAACAATCTATATTCAGTTAAAATGTGTAAAAAAATTATATAAAATTCTAAAAAGAAATACAGTAAAGACTCCCAAAACTTAATATAATGAGAACCAATAGTTAAAAAAACCCAAATTCTGTGGAAATTCATTGCGCTTCCCATGCTGTCTCGTGTTGTAAGTGTTCTTGGGAATTCTAAAGGAGAGGGCTAGTTTTCAGCTATTTTCATGTAGCCATACAATCATCTGTATAACGCTTATTATTTACAAATTGTCTCTCTGTGTTGTCCTTAGAGGTTCAGTTTTGAAGCTGTTACTTTCAATACATATGCTTCACACACAGGGCTTTAGAAAGCAGGAAAGTAAAAGCATTTATTTTCTGACTATAAGCTTGCTTTAGAGTACATGTTGCAAACACAGGAAGAGTTGATCTCTGCTAAGTGTTTATCAGCTATTTAGGTGAGGGGACACCCTTTGAGGTTTGCAATATGTGTATGCAGCTTCAAAGGCTTCAGTGCACAGTAAAGCAAGGTTCCAACAGGTCCAGCACCAGCAGCTGGTGTCAGCAGGTAACACAGGGACAGAGAGCTCCATGGATCGAGCCAATAGGTACGTGTCTTTAAGCCCATATTACTTCTTCTTCTATCCTCTGCTAAAGATATACTTGATATATGCATGTGTGGGGTCTGTCTGTGTGATGGAAGGCAGACACTCCCATGTGCGCTCTAGATGGTAGGAATTTACATGGTGCTGTACTGTAATCCTTAACGAAGCTGGTGTCTTCTTCCCCTCTCTCTCTCTTCCCCTCGCTCTTCCTCTCTTGCTGCCCCCCTTCCTCCCCCTTTCTCTTCCTCCCTCTCTTCCTCTCCCCTCTCTCTTCTCCCTCTCCCTTTTCCGACTACTTTGAAAGTATGATCTAGGCAGTGGTCACTGGTGTCCTCTCCCACCTTCTCTCTGTCCAGAGGCATTTATTTTCTGGGTACACAAAAGTGTTTGTTTAAGATATGGAAACTACAGTTGGGTGCAAAACAGTTCTGTTCCAGAGGAATGTGCTGCCTTCTCAAGGGAAGCGTTGCTGCTGAGTAAGGTGTTACTGCACCTGTTGAGTTTTGTTACTGTAGGAGTTTGTGTGGAAAGGGGAGAAATGACATTTCTAGAGAAGTTATAGCCACACGTAGAAGTTCTTACAGTGGGATGTGCAGGGCATGACACAGCTTGTCCTCACCTGCTCCGAGACTTACACTTCGGAGGACAACACAGAGATACAGAATCGGCTCCGGATGTCATCACAGCCCGGCTTCTGCAGCGCGGGAGCGTCACTGCCCGGCACCGAGCTCCTGGCGTTAGCGGGGCTACAGAACTGGCTGCATGCGTGCTCGTGGTCAGTGGCAAATGTGAGATGTGTTAGCTCAAATGCCTTTCACATTACCTTACAGGTGGTATTTGCTGGGTGGGTTGAGCTTTGTCTTCTTGCTGGTGCGCTGTGCACCAGCTCTGCTGCTGCTCCGAGCCCAGGGGAGAGCACCTCTTGGAAAGTGTTACTCGTGGCCAAACACAATCTTAACAACCCCGATGCTTAGACAATACAGAATTTCAAACTGAAATAACTAGTAACATTTAGCTAACCTTTGACGTGCTTTTTATTTGTCATGTGGATGTGCCAAGCCATCCCCACCTCCAAAAACGTTTGTGGATTTTTCACTTGCCCTTCTATTTCCTCAGGGAAGGGTTTTTTTCAGATAATTCCTTCAGCTGCTTTAAACTGGTGCTGTTTCAATGTCACCTACATCAGACATCTATGCAGTATTCCTGGGTTGTGCATATGAGTTAATTTCATTTGGCTTATACTGAGCCTCTTTAGGTTCATTTCCCCATATCATCATCTGCTTTTCCAGTTGAGGCAGCAAAGAAGCTCAGAAATTAATTTGTGCTGTGCATATTTGTGCATAAGCTTGTGTGTATTTGTGCATATGCCTGCCCAAAAGGAGACGAGAAAGACTCGCTCTTGCTGCCTCTATTTGTTTCCCAAGAGAAAATGCAGGCAGCAGTTCATTCATTTTATAGCGCTCATTGTCTTGGAAAACAGAGGAGGAAATTGGTGTTAGATCCACTTGGATCACGTAGGACTTAAGTTCAGTTTTGCAAAGTCTTTAAAAGATTTATGGTGCCTTCCTAGATGGCTGCTGCTTTGCGTGTCACCAAGGGCTGTTGTATCCCAGGGGTTCAAAAAATTGTTTTATCACAGAAGGATGGGCTAAACCCATCACAGAGCGCTGTAGCCAGGAACCGCCGGCAGCTCTGGATCTTCCAGCCCTTAGACTCTGCTGAAGAGCTCAATATTTAAAGTTGTGGTGTTAAACTAGGTTATCCCGTGATGAATGGCATTTTTCCTTCCATTCTGCCCCCTGCTCAGGCTCTGAAGCCTGAGTCAGAGTCTGGCAAAGCAGCGCGGCAGCAACCCCTGCCCTGCCCAGCCATCGGAGCGGGTGGTACTGGTGCCAGGCAGCCCATGGCAGCGGCGGGGTTGGTGCGCCGTGCGCTCACAGGTCGTGCCTGCTGCACTGGACTGAGTCCTGCAGACGTACTGGTGCTCTGGGATCGGTGCACGTCAGGAGAGGAAAAATGCCTGGGCAGGTGCACTTCTGCAAGAAGCCCTCACATTTTAATTTTTCATTATTTAATTTTTCCCTGAGCTTACCGACTCCTTGCTCTCTGTTCTCTCCCTTTGTTGTTTTTTCACCTGCCGTTCCACATACTGAGTAAACCCATCCTAAGCTCTCACTTCAGAGCACTCTTGAATGTGCTGCTCAGCTTGAAATCAGTCGAGGAGCAGCAAAATTGGTCTGTTCAGTGGGGACAAAGAGCTCAGATGATAATAATGCTGATAATGTTCTTTAAATACCTTTGTAATTTTTGAAGGGCATTGGGTTGTTGCATTTCTTTAGATGCTTTACCTCTTTTCTAAGAAGGCCTGCAGTGACTTTGGGGAGCTGCTTTTTCAGAGAACAGAAAAATGAGTATTTTTAAAAATGGAATTCCTACACTTGGCCTTTGAACCACTTAGTCAGATGCAGACAGTGGAATCTGGCACCAAGGATAATCTTCTCCTGATATGGATATAGGGGGGGGAATGGCAATGAGGGAGGAATGCAGCGATGGCTTAATATTTAACTATTTCAACACTGGTACAAACTACAGTGAAATAGAGGTTACTTGAATAAGGTCTCTAATGAATAGAACGTACTTCTCAGTAAGACTGAATTTCTGCTACCATTGAAATCTGGGTGATAAGCATTAAAAGCACAAAACTTAAAGACAAAGCAGAATATTAGATATCAGCAGAGGAAAAACAAAAGCCCTTATCTGTGTCACAAGATAGTTCAGCAGTTTTCCTTCTTAGCCCTTAGTGGAGCTGAAAAGATTGGAATTAGTAGACTTTCTAATATCAACTACTGAAAGAATCCTAAAGATTGGATTAAAATTTGATTCTTTCTGCTTGCCCTTTCAATGACTGAAAAGTCCTTGGTGCAGTAAATGCTGGTTTGTGATCCTTGAAGCTGTTGAAAAAAGGGAAATGCTAAAAGCAAAAAATGTGAGTTTTTTATTCCTTGATGTCATTAGGATAGCATCATCTTACAGTAGCATTTCATTTGTCTTCACTGTTCTGGAACCTATGAAAATGTATTTGTCTTAATATTTAAGCAGGTAATACAGGCACTTTGTTCCTGTTTGGAGCTAAGTGGTAAGATCTAGGAGTCTTACAAATCATACCCTCCGTCAATTTTTCAGCTAGTTTTATCCACATATCTAATATGCAAGCTACTGTAGACTTATTTTAGCTGTGTTTCCCTGTAACTCAGTTGTCACTCTGCACCTCCTGAATAGCTGCTCATAGAAAAGCAGGTGGATTAGTTTTCAGAAAATCTTCTGAGAAGATACATAATCAGGTGTTTGATTCAGGTTGAAGTTAACGAGCCTTGTAACTGCCTGAGAAGTGCAAGATTGGACTTGAAACTTGCCGCACACAAGCACCGTGTCTCCCCTCCTCTGCAAACGGTGCTGCCGAGGGTGGGACAGTCCATGAAATAACTCTCACTGCAAAATTTGAGTCTGCTCAGTTTTAGGCAACATATCCTGCATGCTGCAGGTATTCAGAGAAAAGGGTGAAGTGCACCTCTTCTTTTTAGCTCAGCACATATCAAAGCCTTCCCTGGAGGAAAGCAGGATGTACTCTTGTGTACTGAGTCTGATTGACCTCTGGACTAGCCTTCCTTTTAGCCTTTTTCTGCTAGTTCTGTTTCTACTAGTTCTTCTGTTTTTCTGCCAGTTCTACTCATCAGTTGTGGAGGGTTTGGGGTTTTTTTTTGGAAGTAGAATTTAACAACTTTCAGTTGTAGCTATTCAGTCAAAATGTCTTTTGTTGTTATTGTTTTTAACAAATGAGAAGCTTGGTCATGATTACTGTGCGGAATGGAATTGCGTAAGAACGCGGTGTTTGTTGTAAGGCAGAACACTGCATTATTAACAGTAATACCAATTACTAAGAACATGAAGCTGCGCACCATATTTTGTTTCAGTTTTGTAACACCAAAACAGTGATTATTCTGGCATGTGTACACACCGTCTCTTATACTCCTAAGCTCGGTTATTAGCAAGTAAATGAAAAAAAGCTGAAAAGAAATCAGTCTTGTGAGGATATTAAATGTTCATCTGTGAAGAACTTAGCTCGTGAACTTTGAGAACATGGTAGTGTTGATGTATTGGCTCACTCAGAGCTTATAAAATTCTCCAAGAAAAAGAAGCCAAGTTTATATTTAACAAGCTTTATCAAACCATTGGAGTTAAGTGAAAAGCACACTGATATGCTATATAAAATAAACAGAAAGAGCTTGGAAAGCTTGCGGAAAATAATTGTGCCAAATACTTTCTCCCACGATCGCCACTCAACATATTAGTCGTCGCAGCAAAAGAAATGTACACATGGATCATATTTAGTCCTGCATCTCTTACGGTAACTCCTGTTTTGTATCGAGTGCACATTCCTCTAATTAGATCTGGGCACTGATGTGACTGGTTTAAAGCTCTGCAACACGTTCTGCTCGAAGTTCACAACAACCAGGTTGGGAGAGGAGTTTGGAGAGAAGTTTTGAAGAAATATTTTTTTGTAGAGCATTAATTATAGGCAAAAGATACTTGCTTTAGTTTGGAGAATGCTTGTATGTGGGCACAGATGTAACTGATTTGTATAAAACAGCAGTGCATTAGAAATGATATTTTAGTAAGTAAACGAAGTAACTTGGAAAACAAATTCCTAATATTGCCTGCAGCATTTTCCGTAAGAAAAGCTGTGGAGGACAGAGAAGCACGTACCTTGAGTCTGTGACCCTTGAGTATCCTACAAATCCTGGAGCACAGAAGTGGCTTTCCTCAGTGCTCTCTGCCACGGGCCTCGTTTAGAGCCCTGGAGCTGCCTGTCTCTGTTCTGAGCCCTTGGTCCCTAAGGAAAAACTTCAGGTGCAGGGAAGAACCGGAAGATGTGGAGGAGCAGGGTGTTAAGCTCAGTGTTAACCTGGATGAGAAGAGGATGTGGGCATCCAGTCGCTGGTGGGTGCGTAGGGGCTCGGGGGTGATGGCACTGCGAGGTTCCTCATGGGCTCAGGGAGAGGGCAGCTTGCATTTCCATCAGCCCCCGTGGGGGGCCGGCCCCTTCCTACGCCTGCGCCCTGTGATGCGACAGGTGTGAAGACGCTTCAAGAAGAGCCTGCATGTCTACTCCTGACTGGCAGCTTCAGCACCTACGTATGCTGCTCTCAACAGGTTTAAAGCTAATCGCTGACTTTATAGCGTAGGAAACAAACAGCAGCTGTTTTCCTTAGCACAGTCCAAGGAGAGGAAGATTGAGGTGCTGTCCCTGGAGGTGCCGCACAGAGGTGTCTCCTCCGTGGGACTGCTGCATTCCACGGGGAGCAGCAGCCTGCAGCGGTGAAACTCCGCCGTGAGGGCTTACCTAAGGTAGAATTGCAGTCGGAACTCTACTGCCCAAAATGGCAGTAAGTAATTTACAGGCTGCCATTAGTTTAGCAGGTAAATACTCCCACAAAATTTGCTGACCCCGGCCACAGTAACCCTAAGAAACTGAATTGCCTGTTTGCACCTCCCTGAGCAAACCCACCACAGCTGCACTGAGCCAGTGCCGAGAGCTGCTGCGCGCACCGCAGTTGTCTGGGCACACGTGTCATCTACCCCACAACTCGTGGTTGTCCATGGGTGCCGTGCAGTCAGAGATGCGTAAAAAAGTGGGTGTGCTGTTCTGATGTGTGACACCCCATAAACACCCCTGGGCAGTTGTGACTGGAACTGTGGGATGTGCTGCTTCAGCCATCCCGCCTATGTGTGTTACACAGAGTTCATAGGAAAGGCAGTTTGCTGGGAGGCATTAAGGGTGAACAATGGTTTTAGAGCATTCCCGTTTCAATTTTTTTGCTGCCTGAGGTAAACAATGATTTTTTTTATATAATTCAATATAGTATTGGTGTATAAATGTACTGCAGGTGATTATTGGCCTAGGTGGTGTGAGCTGGACACATTTGTAAAGTTTCTTTCATGTTAAATCTCAAAATTCCAATCACATAAGCAAAAAAGCAGATTAAAAGAAACAGCAAAAATATTATTACAGTGTCTACTTATAAAGTTAACTGGCCTTTACTACCCAAGCCAACCTAAAGTCCTTGAGGCTGTTTGAGCATTAATATTCTGGACTGCAAACAGACATAATCCAAAATCCACAAAGAATTTAAACTAAAAAAGGAGATGTAGTGGTTCAAAAACTGAGTATAATACTTAGTTAATCAGTGTCCTACAGACTTTGATATTTATTTATCCACCTATTTATTTATTTTCATTATACACAATTTTCATCCAAGATCTGTAGCTTGTGTTACTGCTTTTAAAATACATTAGCATTTCATTGACCTTTTATCAGGCTGCTCATTTTGTCCTAATTCCAAAAAGCAAGAAGCTACTTCATTCTTAATTTTTGTTTTCCTCTGTCCTCCTTTAGAGGAGCTCTTGCAGCAGCGCTATTTACGTGTTGTCCGGGTGCAAAAGAAGTTCCTTCTTATGTTTGCTGTGATTTCCTGAAAACAAGTCTTCTATTTCAGTTTAGAATTGTAAATCACCTCAATTCTTCTTGTTCTCGCTTGCCTAAGAAGCCCAGAGAGACATTAAAATATTTTAATTTTAGCACTGCAAAAGGAAAACGTGTCGAGTTTTTAATAGATAAGGCCCTTGCACATACCGTAGGTGTCAGAGGTGCCTATAACATCTAAGGACACGTCTGAAACATGTTACTGCTGTTACTAATTACGCACTAGACCTGCCTGTAAAAGAGGAATTTCCAAGAGAGCTCTGTCCTGTGCAGTCTGTTTATCTCTAGTTGACAGCTGTCCATTAGGCACAACACCGCTGCGTTATTTCTGGAGATGGGCCCAGGAGTAAGCGGCAAGTCTTTGTAGTCACCTGATGTTGGCAGCCCTCGTTCCCACAACGAGCTCTTAAATTTCAGGTCGCCCTGCCTGCCGAGCGCCTGATAACCCCTGGGCACGTTAATCACCGAGAGCGTTCCTTCTCCTTGCAGCTGAAGGACAGACTGTGTTGGGAAGCAAAAAGCATAATTACAGTTGAATTCCAGCTTCCACCAGAGCTGCTTCTCCTCAGCTCTCGGTACAATCCTGGGAATTGTTTAGGGATCTCTGATCCTTTGCAGAGACAGGGACGAGGGTTGGGTGTGCCGGGGGCCTCTCCCAAGTACTGCTGCCTCCTGTGGAGATTCTTCTATAAACAGCTGTGGAAGGTGAGGGGATTGCAAAGTCTGAGCACGGGCTTTAATGTGGCTTTATCTTACTGAGAAACCACTATCTTTGAAAATGCGTTTGGAGGTGAATAGCACGCTTCAAGGTTAAAGCTTGCTCTCCCTCCCCGCCCCCCCCCGGTTTAAAAAGAGTTTTCATTTGAAGAGCATCTAGCAGATTTGGACCCACCTTTTACAGCCTTTTACAGTCCTCAGATAAATGTTACAACATAAAGTTTATGACTCTTCATGTCAAATATAATTAAATACATTGAATTCTCCGAGAAAAGCACAATGCCCAGAGCTGCTCTGCCGATTTTTTTATTAAAGATAAAGAAGTAGGTCACTAACTAATTTTATCTCATTCACTTCTGAAAAACTACTTTTCTCACAGTTCCGCGCCAGCCTGGAGTGAGCAATAATCTGTTTGAAATACTTGAAATTGAAAGAGGGATTACAGCTGATGAATTTGAAGCAAACGATGACCCAGGTAAAGATCGTGTCTCCTGTTCAGGGCCTGGGCTTTAAGGATTTCTTGAGATTTCTTGGGGTTTTATACGTTCTTACAGGACTCCTACATCTTTTGCCCCTTGGCTGTGCTTTTTAAAAATGAGCCTTTACAGTTTTATTTCCCAGCAGATTTAGCACAAAAATAGAGTGAATTGTTAATAACAACACTAGCGCCCTTCTTATTGTTCTAGTGTTTTTATAGATTCTTTTCGTAGTGCTCCTTCAGCTGCATTTAATTTTCATATTCACTTGCTGGTGTCAGCCACAAGGGAAATTGCTGGAGTTCCCCAACCAAAACAATCCATATCACTGGTTTGGGGTTGGTTTTGGGGTTTTTTTTTTTTGGACCTTCTGCTCTGTTCTGCCTAGGTGTGCTGGTACACAGCTGTGATTTTGACAGTGGACTCTGTGGATGGCTCAAGGACAAAGATGACAACTTGCACTGGGAACCAGTGAGAGACGAGTCAGGTAAGGTCCTTGTGTCCGAGTGCATCCTGTAGCTGAAGAACCACCCAGGCTTGAGGTTGAGGTTGGGGACAGTTCTCGCACTATAATGAATTTATGCAGCTTCTGTTCCCTTTACTTCTGAGATACATTTCACACCCACACCTCTTCTGTGTATAAAAATCAAAACCAAGGATTCCCAACACGAAAAGGCAACTGAGAATTTTCACTTTTATCATAGCTGGTATCTTTCCATTGGAATGTCTCTGAAGGAGTAGTAAATGTATTCAGTAAAAGATTATCTGTCTTAAAAGAATCAGAAAGAACAAAAAAGTGGACTAGAGAAAGCCTTTTATTTATGGTGAAACAGAGCTTATTTTTCAAACCACCACGTAAACATAATTGTTTCCATATTACTAGCAAAATTATAGAAAGCGCTGAAAATAGTCTTTGTTCTGCTGCCAAATACATTGTTCTGGTTTAACCTCTTGGTTTGATTTAATTGACGTCTACTCCAGGTTACAGCAACCTGTATGTAGGAAAGCTGTTATGGAACTGGAAGGAAGACAAGTTAGGTGCTTGTATGCAGAGACTTCTGAAAATGAGTGTATTTGGGACAGTAAAAAGGTGACCTTGTGATGAATATTGCAGGACAGGAGAAGGCTGCCTTCGGCACTGGTGATCAGCCAGGGCAGCAGCCCCTCCTGCGCGCACAGTCCCAGCAGAAGCACACGTCTGCGCTGGTAGAAACGCACGCAGTTTTGTCCCCTTTTGGTTTTCCTGTGTGGCACCGAGAGGTTGGCTGTCCTTGCCTCTGGACCCTTCCAGCAGCGCTCGCCCCGTGTCACCGGAGGTTAGACACACGTCTCTGGCTCCCGTAACGCCAGGCTCACTTCATACCCAGCCGAGCAGCCTTTGAAGCACACAACACTTAGATTATGTGAGGGGGTGACAGGCTTTGTAACCATATGTGCTCTAGGGCAGTAAAATGTTGCAGGATGAGGGTGCTGAGAGTAATTTTCCTTACACACCATGTCATCACGGATGTCTGTCCTTGCACTGCCAGTGATGAGACGATCGTTTGCCACCACTGCAGGTGACCTGGCCCCTTTTTCAGGCTGTTTGGGTGGCTGAGTGGACGTCCTGTCTTCACTCACCCACCCTCCCCACCCGCAGGCGTACTGTAGTATTTCTAGGATGCTCCTTAGAACACCTAAAAAGTTTCGTGAGTGACGCGGAGAGCAGAGCTCCTTCCTGCTGCAGAAAACGGAGCTGTTTGGTAGCTGTGTCCTGCTTACAGACTGGCATTTTAAAAAAAGATCACACACAATCTAAACATCTCTTTGAAACAATGGATTTTGAAAAGCTTTGTTTCTGAGACAGTAATTCAAAGCATATTCATTATCTGTACTTAAGAACTGTTGTTAGTATGTATTAAGTTCCAGTACTATGCTTCGTAAGTGGATTTTTTTTTTTTTAGACTTTTTTTTTTTTTTAGACCTGTGTTGCTTCTCAGTCAGGGACATTCTCAGCTTCTTGTTTCCTGTGTGTGTTCTGCTGTTGTTGACATAACCTGTTAAAACTTGTCCCTTGAAGTCACCCACCCACTCCCTCTTTTCTGGAATACCTTGTTGCAGGGATTTAGTTTCACAGCTTGTTCCTGAGTGTTTGCTTTCACCTTTCAAAATTTGTTATTGGTTTATCAGAATCTGCATTTTGAAAGGTACCATGCTGAACACTTATAAGCTTATCTTGGTGCAGAAAATGCTCATTTGAGGGGACCTTCTCCTGCAGGGACTTGCCTACAGGCATGTTGGCTTTGTGCTTCCCTAAATCTGTTTCCTATTGATGGGATTCAGTCACTGTAACTCTCTGAAACAGATGCAATTAATGAGTCAGGTCAGTACCTTTATAGTGGTATAATTGTATCTACAACAAACAGGTGCAGTTATTTAAACTCTGTTATGCTTATTTTAGCAAAAGCAATGCATTAAATAATGAAAAATAAAATAAAAAAGCACCCAAACCTAAACAAAAAACTTCAATAGATCCTTGGACAAACGGATCCCACTTCATGCCCAAATCCAGATCTGGGGCCCCAGGCAGCAGCACAACTTTGCTTTCTTTGGTCTCAATGTGATCTAATAACCTAAAGTAGGAACAGTGAATTGGAGACAAGGTTGGCTTTCCTTTTAAGTGTGTGACAAGCCCTGGTATGTTGTCATTAAATCTCACAGCTTTTGAGGAAAATCATTGTGGCTTTCAAAAAGAGGCTTTCAGAAAAATACAGTTCTGGTTGAGTAGTAGCAGGGCAACAATTTAAATGAAAAGTATTTTTTCTAAGTAAAGACTGTGTATATCAACAATATTATGACTCCCAAATATTTCTACACTATCAGTTTCAGCTAAGGAGCCTAAATGCCACTTTTACCTTAAGTTCATTAAACTTGGATTTTTTGATTTAAAAAAGATTTAAAAATCAAATCTCAAAAGAAAGAGGAAAAGAATTCTTAGATTCAGAGTAAGATTTTTTAATTTTTATCTTTTTTAGAGTGAACACTCTTCCCTTAGATAATTTCAAATTTTAAACTTATCATTCACCTTGCAAAAGTTTGACTAAAAAGTACAAATTAAAAATATAGGTGTGGGTCTTCTTCAAGATGTGAAGTCTCATTTATTGTGGTTTTGTGAAAGTATTCCTTTATTTATTTTTTTTTAGGTTTAATGGATGTTGCCATACCCGAGATTCTTTACTTTTCATGTTCTAGGTGTTTTCTGAAGGCATCTTTACTTCATAGATGATATAGAGATAATACGGGAGTTTTGAATCAAGTATGTTCACTGACAACTTACTACTGTTAGAGAAGACTTGAGGGAGCGTATCAAGTTAACAGCCATCTGGAAATCATTACTGTTTCCAGCTTTCTGTATCTAATCTAGGTTAAGAGTTTAAATTATGGTTAACTAAAAAGGGTATCGGTGTTTGCAAGCGGATATGCTTTGAGACTTAACCTGTTAACACAGTTCCCAAACAAAAGGCAAGGGACAGAACCACAGCTCCGTTCCACGGGCACACTTATGCTGGCCTTCTCCTTCAGCTGCCTAGTAGCAAAACAATGCATCTTACAAGGTGGATAATCATACACACTAGCTTTAGTGTTGCTGTGGGAATGAAGGAATACACGAAACTTTCATTTTCAGAAGAGGTCTTATTTGTTTTGGGAAAAAGAAATTCGATGGGCAAGACCTGGCCTGGCACTAGTGCCGACAGAAGACCAGCACGGCTCTCACACTGCAGGAGGCAGCTGCGTCAGTTCTGGCTCACGTTTCAGCAGCTCTTTAAGACTTACTGGACCATGTGGAGCCCTTTTTTATTTCAATCTTAATGACTCTTGGTCTGCAACACAATAAAATTAAAAAAAAAACCCACACACCACAACTAACTGCTTTTTCTTTTGCAGGCGGACAGTATCTTACCATCTCTGACCCCCAAGGCAAGGAAGGAAGAGCAGCTCACCTGATCCTGCCCTTGGCTCACGCAGCTCAGGCCGGCGACTTGTGCCTCTCATTCAGGCATAAGGTGCCCGGGCTGCAGTCTGCTGCCCTCCAAGTCTTCGTAAGGAAAAACGGCGCGCACGGACCAGCCGTCTGGGGAAGAAATGGTGGCCATGGCTGGAGGCAGACTCACATAACTTTAGGAGGATTAGGCATCAAGAGCGTAAGTACTGTGCTGCCTTTCACTTTTTTTTCTGAGTGAGAAGCTGAAGACACTTCGATGGTATAGAATCAGACTGTTTGTCCTCCAAGTTTGACTTCAGCTTGTGTTTTATTGCTCTGATCCCTGCCAGTGGAATGACATTAAGGATGAAAGTCATTGTGCATTTTTTCAAATTAGTTTTTATGCAAAGAAACCCCAAACAAAAAAAACAAAACACCACCTACAGCAAGAGACACATAGAAAATGAGAAAATAGCCTGTAGTGAGCTCCCTCGTACAGCCAGGTTTGAGGGAATCACTGCACAGCAACTGGACCCTGGCATGGTGTACATGGATTTCCAAAAAGCCCATATCAAGATCCTCGTGAGTACTGCTCTAAATAAGACAGTGCCATGAAATAAGAAGAATCATCCCTTGTGGGTTAATAACTGGCTAAACCAGGGCAAAGATACTGAAAAAAGTCATTTTTAGTAATGCAGGGAGGTCTCACATGATTTTATGCTCTTCAGCATGCCTGCAGCGGATCTGGCCAAGGAGATAAATGATGACCTAACTATGCCAATAATACAAAATGGTCTAGCACAATCAAAAGAAACCATCTGAAGCGCCATGGAGAAGCTTTTAATACCTGGAAGTCTTAGAAATATCAGGTGATAAATTGATATCAAAAGCTCAGTATTTTCCTTCAACCTCTGCTTAACTGGAAAGGTAGTTTCTGTTTCGGATCTGAAGAAGGAGCTTGGGTGCTTCAGGGCCTGTTTTGCTCTAACGTATATATCAGATGGTCTGAAAAGCTCATACATGATAATGTTCATGGTGGGAGCAGGCTGCAACACACACAGAGTATATGGTTCTAAAATTAGTATTAAGACTGTAATTACCACAGATAATTTTCTGAAATTGGACCTCAGCAATAGTAGCAAAGCCACCTGACCTCCTGTTAGCTGCAAATAAATGTCAGACTGAGAATGTGGAAATCTATGACAAGGGAACTATATTTGCCACATTCTTACCCTTTTTTTCCAAGTTTAACACTTCTGGCAATCCTCACCCAATAGAGCAGTTCATTAAACAAGTGTGTATCACTCATACGTTGTCTGGCGGAAAAGCAAATGAGTTTTAGAGACCTCAAACAAGAGCAGCAGGTCCCCTTTGCGCTGTCCCCTTGGCAGGGGCTCTCAGCCATCACCAGTGATGGCTCCTCAGACCAGCGCTGCCTCACAGCGCCTTACACCTGGAACAGTCACGTTTGGGATCTTTTCCAGCCTCGGCTGCTCACCTGAACCACCATGACATTCATTCCAGGGATGAGGGCATGAGGCAGAACTCGAGGTAAGCCAGTAAGGGCTCTGCCACAGAGAAATTCAGAAGGAAAACTGGAAGCTTTATTTTTGAGCTAATTAAAAAACAAACGCAAATAACCAGTAGTGATTTTAGGGGGGGAGCCTGCTGGAAACCTGAGGAGACTGTGAATGGAGACCAGAATCCTTTATTACACTTTTTAATGAATTATCTCTGTGTAAATTATTTCTAAGGTACACTCAAAATTACTTCTAAAAAACCAATGCAGTATATTCAACACAGTTTCTCTGACCACTTTTGTTCCTATTCCTTCTGTAAAAGTGTGCTTTTGGCAAGCATCTGAATTATTTTTAACTACACAGCAGAATTTCTGATCTATGAATCTGTATTAACTCTTTCCAGCTCACTCTTACAAAGTTTTTGCTGTAGGCTTCAAATAATTTTTAAGCCACAATCAAAACCACTGACCATAATAAACAGTTCAGGCATCTGACCTGTAGTAGCACAGGTGAGCAATACAGATTTATAGGAAGTGTTTCTTAAAGTCAGCTGACCATTCTGTATAGCTTCTCTGATGTATGCTCCGGTCAAGCTTTATATTTGTTAAATTTCTCCTGCTCCAGCTAAATCTGCACTGCTAAGGCTCGGTGTAAATCCATGGTTAAACTTCCGCTGCCGTTTTGTGAGGAGCCAGGATTTGTTAAATAAAAGATGGGTGTTTCTAGTTCCCAGAACTAAGGCAGCTGCGAGGTGCTTTAGAAAAGGAAGGCTCCTCTACTAGAGAACATTTTTCAGAATACAGAGGATTTTATGTACATTTGCCATGAGGGAAAGTGAAAACAGTGCGGAGATGATCAAGTGCCCAAGATGCTCTTATGTGGAAGTTAACCTCACCTTAAAGATGGTGCAGCTGGAACAACTCCATCCCGAACTGCTGGTTCTTCACAAAGATCCTGCCAAAGTGAAGAAGGGAGAGGATCAGAAACAGAAGAAAACAGCTGTAATTCTGAGCATAATGAATAGGCTTTTGTCAGCCAGTTAGGATTGCCTGAGCTCTCTTATGTTTTTGCTCTCTCACCATTGAGATCTCTGCCAGCCAGAGCTTCTTTCGTTTTACTTCAGTTTTGCACTCAAATAGTTCTATTTCTCTTCCCAGGTTATTTTCAAAGGGGAGAAAGGGAAAGGAAGAACGGGGGACATTGGACTAGATGACGTGATCTTGAGGAGAGGACGCTGCTCTGAAGAGCATTAGCAAAGACAATGGACGAGCATAGTCATCTCCTCTGGCCCTTCTCATGCTGTTCTTATCAGGCTTTGAAAACAGAACTTCATGAAAAAGAAGAAAAATTGGGCAGTGACAACTTCTTGGTGGTCTTCTAAGTGCAATTTCATTTAAACTTAACTTAAAAAACATGGAGAGCACTCCCAGGATTCAGGACCTCCAGTCCCACGCTGGTTATTTTTTTAATCCTTACCCCTACATCAATAATTCATTTGGAGTAACTTTATACCCTGTAAAGCCTGGTGAGTGCTCAAAGAGCACTTGTGAAAATGGGAGAATTGAATACAAGTGGTGGCAAAAGAAAGCTCCAGCTCAGAAAGTTTTAGTGTTAATCAACAGTCATTATCTTCCCATTGTGCTTCTCTTGTATTGATTAGAGAGTTGCTAGGCAGTAGGATTGATCCAGTTTCAGAGTGATCTCAGATGAGCGGAAGCCTGGACCTGAACTTTGGCTCACTGCCCCTGGCCTTTGAAGAAGGGTTTCCTTCATATTAAATAGCATTTACGTCAGTGTTGCATCTGTATTAGCAAAAAGCGGTTATATAGAGTAGGCCCCGCATCCTGTAATATTGCTACTGCTGTGTTCTGTGTATATGTGTATGGTTATTAACATATTTATGTTTTTAATATTTACAGACTCTAGTTGCATGGTGATCGGCAGCTGTGCCTTCTTATTGTACAAGGCAGGAGTTCAGCACAGATTCTTTGATCCTGCTGGCTGTGCCAATAGATATGTTACCAAAGTCAGTTACTGGTGCTCATTGAAAAATACTGGTGCAGTTTTTCACGTTGTAATATGCTGAAGGCAAAAGACCAAACCCTTACCTGATGTAAACCGGCATCTGACAATGCTCTGCAAGTTTGCATTTAGCAAACCTGCAAGAATCTCCCGGTTCAGTTGGAGACTGAGCAGCCCGGAGAAGATAATGTGTGTGTCCCGTCAGATGGAGCCCGTTGACGCCGCTGGGAATGTTCCTTTCTCACGGGTGGTACAAGCCTACGCACAAGCAAACCAGGGCCGTTGCATCAACCCCGCGTGAACAATTCAGACCATGAAATGCCTTGAGTGGTCTTTGTCAATTGTCCATCCAACCCTCCTGTAAATAATGAACATTTTATTCTTTAGAACTAGAAATAACTGTTAGCTCTAGCTGGAACTAAATATTTATCAGAACTTTGGGCTCATTTTTTAGTTATGTATCCTACATTTGGTGTGCAGTTTCCCAGGGAGCACTTCTGTTTGGTTTGGGATTTTTTAAATGAGGTACATCATCATCATTGCTGCTAACAGTTCTACGTTGGACTAAGTAATCGTAATGTTTAAGAAAATGACAACAGATGGATGAAATGTTATTAGTGGCACAGCCTTAAAGCTTCAAAAATGTATATAGAGAAGAAGTACGTCTCAAATCTTTCTAAATACAATGTAAAATAAATATCGTCATCATACCATGTTATGAAACTATCATTAAAAAAAAAAATCATGTTAAGCCTTGCACAGAGTCCACAGAGACAAAATCGCAAACCTATTAGAGGCTGTATTCCAAAGTACTGTTTTGAAAATAATTGTCCCCTAAGACAAAGCACAGTGTGTGTATCAGAAGTTTATGTGACCAAACAGATAAGTCTCCTGGAAAACTGTATCAACAAATGTTTTGGAAAGGAAAAAAACATGGCGTTTGTAAACGTTTTTTAAACTGGTTTCCTTCAACTATGATCATGATCTTTTCTTCTTATGTTACTTTGTAATATGTCAGAAATATTTGTGAATAGTTGAAATACCTTGTCCTTATTTTAAAGTAATCAGTAAAGGAGGCTGTTACTTGCTACTAAGTGGAAATCTTGTTTTCATTTCTGGATCCAAAAATCTCATTTTTAGTGCACTTAAATGAAGCAAAACTCCTGCTACCAGATTTAAAAATAAAATTACATTTCACTATAATATGGCAAGAGCATTATATGTATTATTCAATGGCAAGAACAACAGTTTTCAATCTAGCATTTTTAAATAAGTTTCACAGGTAATCTAAGAGCTTCTGCAATATAAAAATGTCCATTTTACAAGGAGCAGCAACCGTAGTTCCACACACTACTGAACCTGCACAAACTCTTACATCTTTTGGCATCTAATTAACACATTTTGGTCTGGTTCATCTACAGCGGATGAAGATGGTCTTTACAACGTTATTACTGCAGCTTTCTGAGGATGAGACTGCCTGGTTGAAGCAGAAATCTGTCTCCTAGCTGTGCAAGACTGACAGTTTTTGCCCCATTACAAGAGGCCCATGGAACCAAGGATTTCAGTGAATTCAGAAGGTGAATAGAAATGAGTACTCAGGTGACAGCAGGAGGATTTCTGGTGGTCTCTGCGTTTTAGGATGCATTTCATCAAATAATTAACTCTGTGAAGCCTTGTAACCACTGAGGTCTCAGCTGACAGGTGACACTGTGACTCTGGCTCTGAGGAGCTGCTGTGGCTGTAGGTCACTCACCTCTGCAGTGGCTTGTGCCATCAGGCTGCATGTGTCACCTTCTCCCAGTGTTTCTGAAGAGACCGAGCGAGGTCAGTCAGCGGTTCCAGGTCAATGCAGCCACGCACCTCAGCCAGGAGGGAGCAGATCCAGGCACGATCACACCTCTCTGTAGGCCTGGGAAAAAACACTGACCCTGGCTACAACCCCCAGGTCCTGTGAGCTAATGAAATCACCAGAGGGACAGACCGCTGTGTTTCTTGGCTGTACCTTTACGGTGCTCTTGGCCCACACAGCAGTCTGACTTGGAAGAAGGAAGAGTTGCCCTTGGTTCCCCTCCTGCTGCGGCCCTCAAATGGCATCTTGTCGGTCTTCCCTGTTACGGCACATTCACCATCCACAGAGGCAGCGCAATGGGAAGACCCGTGAACACTCCCGCTGGGAAAGCTGCACAGTCCACTCCTAAACCACATTTTCCTCAGATCTTGTGTCTCCGGTTGTCACACAGCTGCTCCAGAGTGGCTCTGCTAAAAAAGAAACCACTGCCAATTTAAAATATGTTTTTACATGATTTTATTCCTAGATGAGCACAATAGTACATGTATAGTGCAAGTGCTCAGAGAGAAGAGATAAGCAGCCAAAAATATACCCTGATATGTGATCGGTAACATACCAAAGGCAACATCTAAATTTTAAAATATGAAAAAAAGCTGGCTAACTTAAAAGAACAAGTCTCTTGCCTATTACTTTGCTCCAGCAAATGCTGGAACTTACGATGCCGAGCCCAGGTAAACTTTCTCCCCTTTTTCCAGACCTTTCCATCTCAATATAAATACTGAGAATGGCACATTGAAATGCACTCACGTCCCTGGGGTCAGGTCTAGCACAAGAGCTCCTCACCTGGGAGCTCCTGCAGTGTGTGCCACCTCAGCTGGTGACGACACCACCAGAGTTCTCAGCAAAGACCATCTCGATGTCCAGCCTGATGTGAGCAGAGAACTAAACCCAAATAAGCACCAAGCAGGGCTAGTTACGCTTTTAAATGAAGAAAACAACTGGAAGACTGTCTAAGGCAAGAAATTTGGTTCGTAGGATTCAGAGGACTGTCCAAGAGAGACACTTCGATTTCAACTCCTCTGAAGTTCTGCGTTAGCTCAGGAAGTGTTGCCATCTTGCCTCAGTTTCTTGGACCAGCTGGGAGACAGGAGACGTTGTGATCTCATGGAGCATTTCAAAGTTTCCATGCCCAGATGGGACATTTGATGTTCTTTCTTAAATATCAAATACACATGATTCTTGCGAATAGGTTAGGGGATCCCTTTAGTCGTTGCGCTTTGGAGCATATAAACAGGTCTCGAAGACAATGGGACTGCTCGCTAATATCAAACCCCACGACTCTGCAGCGTGCACCAATTTCCGTAGAAACCAGGCACCTTTATTGCCCAGTTAAAGGTATCATTAAGCTGTGAGCAATTCAGTCAACCATGCCACTGTATCTATGCTGCTTATAAAAAGATGTTTTAATTGGCTCAACTCCATTACCCCAGGCTGATTGCTAAAAGCGCGCAATGTTTAATTACCTGCAAGGTACATCAGGCAGTTTTGCGAGGTGTTAGGAAACCTCAGCATTCTAGCAAGCAATCCTGGCATGCTCACATGCTCGCTGGGAAACCCACTGTGAGCTACTCTGCCAGCTTTAATTGGAGTCATTTGTTTGACACATAAAGATGGGTGACTGGGGCTTGAAAAAATATTTCATTAATATGAAAAATAGGCAGAGAAAGCACATGGTATATCAAGTGATACCTTCATTGCCATATGGCTTTTGATCAGTTTACAGAGGTGGTTAGAGAGATAGGCAAAAATTGCACGGGTTCAAATAGGCTTGTCCACAGAGCTCCAGTCCACAGAGCCTCTCGCTTAGTTATACTGCTGTAAGTAAGACGAGTGAACTCGCTCGTATGGCAGGTAGGGGACACAAGCAAATGCTTACATTGTGCACCCAGAGGTACGTAAACACCATTTGCCTGAATTTACTTGCACATCCTACTGCTACAAACCACCCTCTTGATTCACAGCCACAGCACAGACAGGTCCACTAGCCTTAATCTGCAACAGCAGTTCATTAAAAGCAGCAGCACAGTTAGAAGCCTCCAGTATTTAAGGAGGGGAAGCTTACAAACAAGTTTAATTTGTTTGTAACCTCCAGAAGCCTGGACCTCTGACTCAGCCCTTCCGCCGTTGCCCCAATCAGGCGAGGCACACTGAAGCTTTTTTGGACCCAGCTGCCATTGGCTTCTGCAGCGCACACTCAGGTCCCTCGTTAATATCACACAAAACATCTTCCTTCTGATGAAAATGAATCTCCTCAGCTGCTCAGGACAGGGCATCTAGAAGGCCGCTGTGCAGAAAGCCAAGAAAACAAAAAAACAAAATTACAAAGGAACTTGGGCAGCCATGAGAAAAGCAGGCAGATCAGACACTGATGAAATCACCATG